CTCTCTCTCTCTCTCTCTCTCTCTCTCTCTCTCTCTCTCTCTCTCTCTCTCTCTCTCTCTCTCTCTCTCTCTCTCTGTGTCTCTCTTTCTCTCTCTCTCGCGCGCGCGACTAGTCTAGCTTTATAGATATATGCCTCTGTCTACAGCAACCCCACCTATCTTATATGCCTCTGACGACAGCAACCCCACCTATCTATAGCCTTATCCATCAACTCGAAACACAGGCACAATTAGCTCTTTCAGCTCACAGTCAGCGTCTCAAAGAATTGACCACCATCGCCAAGACGATCAGTCTGGCGACGAGATAGTAAAAGCAACGGTGCTGTAGGCTAGACAGGACAAGGCTACGCCACGGAGAAGCTATACATAGTATATAGTTACCCGGCCGTGATGCTACATAGCGTCTATACGGCAGAGATGATATACGGCTATACGGCAGAGGTGATATACGGCTGTAGGAGGACAAGCCTATCCCGCAGACGCGGAGATATACATAAATTTATATATATATAGCTATAGATATAGATATATGGGTATACGGCCGTGATGCTATATGGCTGTACGGCAGAGATTATGTATAGCCAGACGGCAAAGGTGACATATGGCTATAGGTCGGAGATGACCAAGTCGTAAATCCGCGCGAGATTGAATGCCCACTTCCGCCATCCCCACACCAGCACAAGCGCCTGCTTACAACTCAACACCATCTATCTGCTATCGTTGACCATCAGCAGAGCTTTGTACCGATGATGATGTTCTCAGTATGACGCAGCTCGCCGTCTCGATCGACGCGCCACCGGTACTGATCCTAACAGGTCTGCTACCCTCCGAACCTCCTCCCCCTAATCCACATCATCATCATCATCTTCATCATATTTGTCGTCGTCATCATCAGCACTACCATCACCACCAATCACCGCACCTAAATAGGCAGCAGCTCCATCTGCGCTTAGGAGGCAGAGCTCCCAGTCAATCAGTTTAGCCCAGGGCACTGCCAATTTTCCCGCCACTGACACTTCGGTGGTCAACCTCCCGCGCTCCTCGACCATCCGTGTCACATATTCATAATCCTATCTCCCGCCAAAATTCTGAAATATATCACCGAACCCAAACCCCTTCATCCTCCATTCCTTCTACCAAGTCCATCGTGTCTCCCTCCAGCCACAGCTACAGCTTGTTATCCCAGCTTCATCACAACCTCTCTCTCTCTCTCTCTCTCTCTCTCTCTCNTCTCTCTCTCTCTCTCTCTCTCTCTCTCTCTCTCTCTCTCTCTCTCTCTCTGTGTGTGTGTGTGTGTGTGTGTGTGTGTGTGTGTGTGTGCCCTTCCGCTGGAGTCGTAGTAGGAGGAGAAGGAGGAGGAGGAGGAGGTGAAGACGATGTTTGATCCAGTACAATAGAATAGAGATGGAGATTGATCGGACTTCTGACACGTGGGATTGAGTGGACGTCTTGTACGGCCTGCCCTGGTGACGACAACGCTTATCGACGTGGAATTGAAAGGCGGTGAGACGGTAAGGATTTGGGCGACGAATCGGCTTCGTCGAGAGGACGATGACTCGGACACAACCGGCCACGACCGTCAGATCGGAAAATGGGTCCACAATGAAATGAAATAAAATAAAATGAGAGCACATACACTCCCGCGCGCATCCGCCCGTCTACCTGCAAAGAGCAGCACGGTACTGCCAGAAGCAGCAGCGCAGGACTAAGCGCAGCAAGCCACGCCTCTGCCCTGACAAGTTTGTCTCGCTCTTGCGCGCCGTCGCCAGCCACGTCGGAAGGCCTGCTCTGTACCGATACGCGCGTAGAGGACGACCCTCCCTCTCCTCTCCTCCCCTCCCCTCCCCTTCCGCGCTCTCCCGTCGATCGGTCGCTCGCCGCCAATCGCTCGCTCGAGAACCCTGATGGACTCCCCGCGCATCACCGGACAAGACGCGCGCGGGTCGAAATGAGGACACGGACGAAAACGGCACGAAAAAGGGGGACACGTAGGCCATTGCGTTTCGTCAAAGCCGCGCTTGAGGTCCCGCGTGCACGGCTTTTGGTTGCTGACCGTAGATTGGCAAGATCAACGAGCAGCAACGGGGAATCTACGTGAGTGGTTCTTAGCCCCAGGATATCCTTTTGATAGCCAAGGACATCATTGCCCAATCTCGTGGAGAAAATCCGATGGTGCCCCCAATGTCATCTTGCACCGAACTGAAAATAGGCCTCAGTGTAGGGGTGAACGGCATACTCACACGCGGGCCTCCGACGGTGCAACCACGTGATTTACTGGAGTGTGTATGTGATTGCCGCTTCATCCATAACCCTTTCCGCGTTGGAAATTACCCATTTTGAAGATGGGGAATTGCCCATGTGCCCGGGAAACCGCCCAACTTGCATGTATAGCCCGAAAATGGCCCGTCGAAACGTTCGCATGCCACAGGTGGTCCGGGCAAATTATGGACCCACCAAATTCGTGTCAAGGTGGCACATTTTCAGCGGCGGGGGACCGGCACACAAGTGGGTTCTAAGGGGGTGAAAGTTGTTGGGGGACCGGTCCACCGTGTTTTTACGGACTACCTACAGCTATCGCCTCCAGAACGGGTGCTGTAGCAAAGTTGGAGCACAGTTGGAGGACCAGACCTCCCTTGCATGTCAACTGCAAAAGTGGCTAAGGGAAAAACCCGCCAATGCACTCAGGAAGGCGTTGAGGCAGGGTCTGGTTTCCACCAGGCCCCTACAGAAAAGGAGTACCAACGTGTCCGGTCCAGCAATTTGCAAGGTTTTGCCGAGCCTGGGTCCCGTTCTACATGCAATAGCTGTAGGTAGTCTGTAAAAACGCGGCGGATCGGTTCCCCAACAACTCGTTAGAAACCACTTAAGTGTCGGTCCCCTGCCACTGAAAACGTGCCACCTTGACATGGATATCAAAACCTACTATACTACAGCCATAGGGCAACGAATTTTGACGTTTCAAGTTGACAAAGTTATAGAGTGTGTTTCTTGAGTTTGGTCTGACAACTCTTAAAATCCATCTTCAATAGTATTTCCATGAGGTAGTGGACCAACTACAAATCTTGATAAGTTCAACAGTTAAATCTCTTGAACCCATTTTTGACCACTTTATTCCAGAGTCAGCAGAGCGGTACCGGACTCGTGAAACTGCACAAGTTTGTAGCCCTAAGGCTGCAGTATAGTAGGCTTCAGCATCCATGTCAAGGTGTTATATTTTCAGCGGCAGGGGATTGGACGTACAAATGGGTCCTAATGGGGTGCAAGTTGTTGGGGGACCGATCCACCGCACAACCTACAGCTATCGCGCGCGCGTAGAACCGGGGCAGTAGCAAAATTTGACTGGTCCTCCCTTGCATGTGAACTGCAAAAGGGCCCACAGAGCCAAGCGTTGAGGCCCATCTTCTTAAAACAGGGAGGTCGGTTTCCGAAGGCGGCACCGGTGGGTCGACACTGAGAAGACGCAGAAAGGCGCAACAAAATAGGCATCTGATGCGCGAGGCAACTTAAGCATTTTTTTGTGCTCGAAGCAACGCACAAAAAAATCTGAAATTTTGAAATTCGTAGATTAGGTCGTGTTTTTTCCATTAAAAAAATCAGAATTAAAAAATAAAAATCAAAACCGTGAAATAACCGTTACGCCAATTCGATACATTTTCTATTTTTGTCACTCAGCCATGTGTGGCCAACGAAAAAAACATTCCAACTTCAGTGATTTTTCACGCTTAGAAGAACGCGTGAAAAAACTTGAAAAATTGAGTGTTCGACGTTCGTATATTTTTTGTGATATTTCCAGGAAAAATATTTTCAAAAAAATAAAAATCATATGAACCGCGAAACAGATCATGACCGCAATTTGACCCATATTTCATTTTTGTTATTCAACCTTTTTCTCTCTCTCTCTATGGTAGCCCCCCCCCCCCCTTCTCTCTCTCTCTATCTCTCTCTCTCTCTCTCTCTCTCTCTCTCTCTCTCTCTCTCTCTCTCTCTCTCTCTCTCTCGTGTATGCGTGCTTAGTCCAGTTGCTTCGGCTTCCTTAGGGCTGCATTCCTCGCGCCCACACAATAAATAATCAAGAGTAATGCACCGAGGCCCATAGTGGGTTTTCGCGTCCCTGTCAAGATGGTCAAAATTTTGCAGCAGGCAACCGACAAACACGAGGCTATATTGGGGCTTGAATTTGTTGGGGTACTAGTCCTCCACATTTTTGTGGACGCCCCACGTGTATTGCTCGTAAAACCAGCACCTTTGAAATCAAAAAGTACTGGTTCTAGGTTTTTCATGGACCCTAGAAGGGGTTGTCAATACTTTTTTGTTTTGCGACAAATTGAAAGTCTCAAATGTAGTATGTCTTGTCGGGAGTCCCCATCGTGAATTGGTAAGACTGTCGGCAAAGATTTCACAAGATGCCTTTTCGAACCGCGACCATGCCTTTTCTCGAGCCACGGGTGAAAGAGGGTTTCTTCGGGCCAAAGAGCATGCATTACAAACATATGGCTGATTTGTGTATTATCTAGCTTGGATGATGACACATGGCGAATTGTGGTGCGCTCCGCAATTGTATGCTTATTTTCATGCCCTGCCTCCAACCTACGATCACTATCATTGAGTATATCACTTATTTTCTCTGGACAATACGTCGCGCCTTCAGAGAAATGTGGCACATTTGTATTTTTTTTGCTTTCAAGTTCATGTTTGTGCAGGAGAGAGAGAGAGAGAGAGAGAGAGAGAGNGAGAGAGAGAGAGAGAGAGAGAGAGAGAGAGAGAGAGAGAGAGAGAGAGAGAGAGAGAGAGAGAGAGTGAGGAAAAAAAAAAACATTAATGGGGGAATGGACAAACATGTGATGACATACTTTGTTAAGCGGGTGGCTTGTTTACATATCGTCCTTATCGTTGACAACACATTCTTTAGTAACATCTACCAACTTTGAAAGAATGCTACATAACTTCCAATTACATTTTGGGAAAAATATATTGAGTGTGAGATATGATGTGTATATCCTTGTTAAATGTTTTGAACCCTCTGATCTCTCCTCTTCATGGTGAACTCAAATAATTGTTTATTCTCATTCTGCTATATATGTTTTGAAAGGCTGCCCGGTGACGTCGTATTGACTCTCCATTCTCACTTTATCCTTTTGTTGTGTGATCAGTAGTGGTTGTCCTATATCGGACTTCCTTATCCTCTATTATGTCGGGTAACTGTCTCAGCTTGTCTGCGTTTTTGCAAAATATTTTTATCTCAACCACACACTCACACACATATGCATACCCTCGACCTTGAAAAAGTTCCGCCCTCCATATCTCTTGCTCATGCGCTCATTCTCTTAACTCCCTATCAGCAAGTTAATTAGTCTCACAAGCATAATATATTTTTAATACTTTCCAGATGTTCGATATGATGATGAAGCATTGAAGATAACATTGTCGGGGCAGAAATCCTGACAAGGGTATCTACCAGGTATTTTAAACGTCGAACGTTGTCCGACTTTTGACTTGATGAGATACGTGTCTGCAAAAAGTTATTCGAACCAAGCTTACGACCAAAGAAAATTTCAAAAGGACAGTAAGGACCGGCAGTGCAACCGGCCACTTACCTCATTTGGTAAGGTTGTCGGGAGGCGCAACCATTGGAAATGTTAGATCTAAGCCTATCCTCCTAAAAATAGAGACATCCGCGCAATTCAAAGCCTAGGTGCCTATTACGGATTGTCGCACCATGTGTACAACCGTGACACAGCAGAGGCAAGTTGTTCTCGAATAACCGTAGTAAAAAATAAAAAATAAAATGTATATATACATATATATATATATACATATATGAATTATACCGTTGACCGACGGTTTAGGACCTCGATGATGACCAAGGGACCTAGCAGCCTTCTCTACTAAAGTTGGGTACCACCGCTTCGAACATAGGCGGTCAGCCGAGGGGCTGGGCAAGACAGGCTGGGCTTGTTGGGCCGTAGTGAGGAACGTGCTGAGGCATCACTTCTTTAAGTAGAAGTGTTGCGGCTCTAACTCCCATACTAGGAGCTAACTTAGTACGTTACCGCATTAGACTCTTACCCGACAAATGTCGGGCCGACAAATGTCGGGATCGAATCCGAAAGGTCACCCACTGGGCCAGCTCTTTTGGTAGGAGCTGCCATGAAAGGGGGTAGTGAGGCGTGGCTGATTGTGGCCGTACGATCAACGAGATCATGCGGTTGAAATCAACCGCGTGCAGGATAGTATGGCCTTACGTTACCGAACGTACGCATATGGGGCCTTTCCGTACGAAACGTACATGTAATATCTGTACGGGAACCCGTACGAGAAAAAAAAAAAAAAAGGTCATTAAAAAAAAAAATAAAAAAAAATTGTAGCAGCATAAAACAAACAACATTTTGCTGAGCGTCATCTCTAAATTCTTATTCTAGTTTGAGGGGGAAAAAAAAAAAAAAAAAGGAAAAAAAAAGTTGTATGGGCCTCTAGCATACAAGTAGCGCACGAACAGCATAAGAGTACAAACAATTTTGTACTCGCACGAGGGTGCGTACAAGTCGCAACATAGGTATGGCCCCTGCGCAAAGATGACAAACATAAATCGGGAAATGACCCAAGTTTTTCGAGTTTGAAGGGACCCGAACCCGGGTCTGTATTTCAATATCTCGTGGGTGTGCCACGAGCTGAGGGACCGTTGACTAAGGGAAAAAAAAAACCTACTACCTAAAGCGAGGGCACCA